CACTTGGTCCCCCCTGGAAACCATCGTACCTGCTCTTTTATTTTCATTTATAATCCCTCACTGGTGCCCCGTGGATGTACACCGGTAGCGCAAGTGGGGTTACCATTCCATTATCATTCATTAAAAAAACAGGCAACTTTTGTACAAAGTCTCTCTCTGGTAAACAATAATATGAATCAGAAATTAATCTAACAAATCTACGAAATACATACATAGGATAGTGTCATGTTAAATCAGGTTAAATCAATTTTACGTCGACACTAATCCACGCTGTAGCGCTGCCTACTTAGATAAAAACGAAACAATGGTGTCCGTTCCATTCGGGTGACGGTCTTGCGTAGCATTTAGGAACTATCCTGGTTGCAACATGCACATACTAACTGATAACATTCTGGTTTACAATTTAAAATGTTGCTAGTGCAAAAAAATTGCGAATTTAAACGCGAAAAAACGCAATACGGAAATAAATCTTACGCAAAAACAATGGATAAAATTGATTCAGAATGAATGAAGATATCATATCATAAAACTAATAATAATACAATAGTAAAAGTTAAAAAATAAGGGCTTGAAATTAAAGTAATATTAATTGGTTATCTATAAGTAAAAAACGCTATTTTCCTAAATTCACGGTGAATATATTTTAAAATTAAAATTTAAGTATCCAGTAAAACTTAACCCTACCAGGTTTTGTATTTTTTGTACCCTAACAAGTACCTACCTACAGTGTAACTTGACAAACTACGTCAAAGTACGTCAAAACTTGGTCAAAACAGATTTTTTGTTTGTAAATGAGAAAACGTGAAATCGATAGATTACAACAGTAATGAGGTTGTAACAATCTATGGTTTCGTAAACTGGTGTTCACCATCAACCCCACAGATGAGCGAAACACCATTGGATTTAGGTTACTGGCGATTCAGTTATTGGTATCTGTTTGATAGACCTATATGGATTTCTTGTTATCTAATCCTCTATAGAGGGGGAAAGGAATTATTAGCAATAGAGTTTGACAGCCCTGATGCTAGCAATATGCCCTATTATGGTCGACCTCCACGTGGTTCCCCCTGGAAACCATCGTGAACAATTCTTGTTGAATTCGTCCCAATAGGCTAACTGGCCTGCAACATCCTGACCTATCATCCTTCACTGGTGCCCCGCCAGTGTATACCGATAGTGCGGGCAGAGTTACCGTTCCATTATCCTCCACTAAAAAAAATCCTGTATGGAGTAAAACTAAGGAACTATGATTGCATTTCAACAACGTTTTTGTTACATAGGTTTCATGATTTAATGTTTATAGTTCACTAGCTGCATCCGGCGGCTTCGCCCGCGTGAACCTGACGTGAGAATGAAAGGGCAGGTCAGTTAGAAAATCGTGATGAATACGCATTCAGCCCGACGATTTCCAGGAGGACTACGAGAAGGTCGACCTGATAGGATATATTGTTAGTGATGGAGTTGGTGGCCAGCATTACTAACGATCCCTTCCCCTCAAACGCATAAAGAGTATTATCGGCGACACAGTATACTTTGTTATGTCCATGATATTATTCGTGTCTATAGGCGATGGTTACCACTTTTCATCAGATGAGTCGTCAATTTATTTGCCATTCTAAGTAGCATAAAAATATATATATACAATAAATAATATACTAAATTCTCAGAAATAGCAACAAATGAGGAATATCATTATGTCTCAGTGCATTCTAAGATGTCTCGACTGTGAATCATTACTATATGCAACGTTCTTTTCATAAAGTAAATCATCGACTTCTAATTGTAATTTTTTATAAAAATGGACCCAGTCCGAAGTTGATAGAACTGTATATTATCTGCACTGCAAATATGTTTATGGTCCTAACAGTACACGAATGTTAATAAATGATATCGAATTACTTAACCATCTTGATGGCCCATTGTTCGATCGCAACTGTGAGAAGGTGGTTCGTAAACGGACAGACGGACCTTGTAAATTGTGAGAAATGTAAATCGGAATGTATTCCCGCTATGTTGATGTGAGGTCGCTATCCCATTGAAAGTAATGAAGAACAATTTTTAACTGAATTTTTAAAGAAACAATGCAGTTGTTGGATATTTGGACTATAACCTAGTTAAAAAACACCTAAATGAGCCATATTAAACAGAGGATTTCGTATATAGACACCAATGAGGGCTATACTCATACAAGGGTATTTTTTATATAACTTAGAACATAGATTTACAACTTAGAATACCTAAAGATGTCAAATAAGTTGACTAATAGAATATAACAACCAACATCTATAGACAAGAACAGCACTATTGGTGCATAAAGTACCTATTATTCTTAATCTATGTAGAAAAAACTGTGTAAAGAATAAAACTGCATTACAGTTAGAGTATTTCACAGCTGTATAATTAATAGATTTGTCTTTCTCATTTCAATAATTATTATGGTAACATTTTGGTTTTATTGGACAGACAGTAATTACTAATATTATAAATGAGAAAATGAGTTTGATTATTGTTACCTTTAACGTTTAAATTACTCAACTAATCGTCGGTAAATATTTTATAGGTACACGTATTATTTAGGACAAAGAAATACTTCGTTTACAAGATCGGGATAAAAATACGTCTAATGAACGAAGTCCCGGATGAAAAGTACCTTAAAAATATTATAATATTAACAAACCATTGTGGCGAGAATAGTACAGTCACTTAAATGTATTAATGATAACTAGCCCACTTAAACCGTAATGAAGCGAATGAAATAAATTGTAAAAAATAAGTTGCATTGTTGGTTTCTAAGTCATCAAGTCGTGACCTTAATGTCTCTATTATAATCAATTTTGGGCCATTTAACAGTTTTTTGTTACGTCTCATGGCTATGTGTTGATTGCAAATTGCTTTATGTTATTTAGGTAGAATTAGAAAAATATAAAATAATATTATTTGTATTGCAAAATATATGTTTTTATTTAATACTAACTGAATGGGCAAACGTTGTTTTGTACCCTATGGTTTTGTTTAAACCATAGGGTACAAAACAACGTTTACCTGTCTAGTTTTTTTTATAAAAGCTATCCTGTTTTTTGGAGCAAATAATACATATTTATACAATTTAATTTAAAATTTGTTGAGCAGTTTCGTAGATTGGCGTGAACGAATATCGCGCCAATGTATAATATATGAAAAAAATATTTTCAAAGTAGGCCTTTTAAAAGCAGACCAAAAAAAATTACATAATAAATACCGTTTAAAAATATTAAAAATGTTAAAATATCATTCCTTTGAACTGTTATGGTAAGATTTATTACGAACAAAACGTTAGGCTCCATTTACTTGACCGATTTCGGTATGAACAAAAACACGAAATTGAGTCCGAAACTTCATTTCATAGTAGACCCTGCACTCATAATTTAAACGTAGTTATACACGCTTAATTTAATTTGTCATTAAGAAGGAACAAGTTGTGATAGTAAGTTGTTAAGAGGTCTTATAGAAAACAATAAAACTGGACGACTAAACATTTTTTGTTAATTTATCAACGGTAAATAAAAATTCCCGTAAAGTATACATAAACATTTACGGTAGGTAAACGCACCTATAGGTAATAGGTAATTTATATGTAATACAAACGACATATCAACTAATTATGTTTAACATAATACATTTTACATAATAAAGTCATTATTTAAAGAGATCAATAACATAAATAAATCCAGAACTAGCTGGTTATCTCAACAAAATAATATATGTGACATGTTTACTCATCAAATAAAATATAATTGAATTCCATAGTTGTTTTCGTGTTCTATAATTGACTATTGAACCAGAAAACTTGTTCCGTTTCGACAAAACACAGACTATCAAGTTACACAATAATATGGGAGAGTCATATTGAAGTTGGGTTTCCTGTTTATTTTAGAACACGTTTTGAAGTTAAAAAAACAATTAATTATTAATAAATATTTTCTAATATATAAACGTAAATACACTATGCTCATGACACTGACTTCTAAATATAGAACAGTCTCAAGTTGACGGCTATCTGATAATTCTTCTTGCAATTTATAAAAAAATCAATATATCTGTAATGATTGAAGCTGCCGTTTTTGTTAGTATTGCAAAAAACTGCTTATTATGAAACAAAATCCATATATAAGCTCTATACTACTGCGTTCTTTGAATATTTTAAATCTAATATGTCTACAAACCAATTATTGTTACCGACAACCGATGGCGATGAAAGGTTTTTTAGTGGCGATTCAATACGGGCAATGTAGACGACCACTACTAGACGGGGGAAAGGGATTGTTAGTAATGGAGACTGAGAATCCCATTGCTATTTCTATTGCTATTTGCTATTATTCCCATTGAATATACCCAGCCAGGTCGACCTCCTCACGGTTCTCCCTGGAAACTATCATGGTTAATTCCTTGTGAATTCGTCATGATGGGCTAACTGGCCTGTTTTCGTTCTCATTCATTACCCTTCACTGTTGCTCCGCCAGCGTATTCCGTTAGCGCAGGCGGGGTTACCATTCCATTTTCACCCATTAGACCACTACTAGATGGAGTGACATTCTCAAATGCATTGCGGGGAATCAGTAGACGCCGGCAGCTCAGGACCGTTCCTTATGACAATTTATGGAGGAGGCCTATGTTCATCAGTGGACAAACAAGGGCTGAGATGATAATGATGATGATGATATCTATAAAGTAGCTATTTTTGCGGAGTAAAACGTAACTAAACCGTTCGAAATCATTTCTTTAAACAACCAACTAACAGGTACGAATGACGTAATGATGCCATCATCTGAATACTCGTCTTAGGTCATAGCATTTTAAACTTTTAGTTTTTTTTTTCTTTACTTTTTTTATTTAAATCTTCAGATCGTGTCTTTTGCAATATGTTAGTCAGCTTCAAAGCTGCAATAACTGCCTCATTGATTTACGTATAATCAAGTACAGAATTCAATTGTTGGCTAGACCAGTTTAGGAAATCAACTTACTTTGAGCTCAGACCTGAGTGTTTTGGGTTCACTTCAGTCCTGTCGTGACCATGAGCTGGTGCAATCCACGTCGAAACGTCGACTATAAAGAAGCAGGTATGTAGGTACTATTTACCTGTAAAGGTTTTTATAACGCATTAAATCTCGAATATGTATTAAAAAATATGTGTTAACAACGCGATAGTTTAAAATTAACTAATATATTCCAAGTGTTAATTTGTTATTTTATTCTTTTATTTTTATTAATATGTCAATATATCTTTCAATAGAAACAGCGTTTCATTTTTATTAGTTCACAATATCATAATATAACATGGGCGAAGTCACAGGTAAATGCTAGTTTTTAAATTAATACAACCTTTGATGTTTTATTTATTGAATTATTTACAGACTACGCGAGATGTATTATGCGACCCCCATAATGAAAAATACTAAAATCCATGCTAACAATGGTGTTACGCAAGTTTACATCATTGGTTAGGACACTGTCGCCTTCACGCATATTGGTTGTAGGACATAAATGTGGGGCCACGAAATAAACGAATCATTACTAATATTATAAATGTGAAAGTTTGTTTGTTCTTTTGTTGCCACTTTATAGAGCCTTAATAGCTTAATCACTATGAAATTAAGTATACACTTACTATATATATATATATATATATATATATATATATATATATATATATATATATATATATATATATATATATATATATGGAATAGAGAATGATACAGTATACATATCTCGGTTCCGCAAACGAAGTCATGGGTAAAAGCTAGTATGTAATAAGTTTGATTGTAAAAAAAGTATTGTAGTTTTATTTTAATAACCTTAAAACAAATCTCATCAATCGTATCTAATATGAAATAAATTAAATGTGTATTGTAGTCAATGATTGAATATTAAGGATACATTAAATCATCAAATAATTTATGTGTGTGTGGATGTGTGTGTGTGTGTGTGCGTGCGTGCGTGCGTTCGTGCGTGCGTGCGTGCGTGCGTGCGTGCGTGTGTGTGTGTGTATTGCAAGCTTTCATAACTATGGTAATCGTCTACCATCAAACGAGTCGAATGCTCGTTTGTCACAATAGTAATATAAAATTTTAATAATATCCTTATCCCTACTGTAAATGTGAAAGTAAGTTTATTTGTTATCTCTTGGCGTCTTAGCGATCAATCAATCGTCACTAAATTTAGCACACACGTATTTAGATAGTATGTATTTGTCATGCAGAAGGATATAAGCTACTTTTTATCTCTGTCACGAGGACAAAATCGCACATACTCAAGTTTATTATGAATTTATAATTAACATATATAGTTAAATTTAAATATGACTTTAAGCCTCTCTCTTTTGAATTTAATATTAGATAATATGAGACATTACTATTCTGAGAAACTATTATGCATTTATATTATGTATAATATATGTATTACTTATTTTGCATACGTATACATTATTAGTTGTCATTTTCTTTACCTATTCTTATCATTAAATACCGCGTTCGTGATTTACTCTTCATCGGTAGAAAATGCTACTAATATGAAGTCTGCCTTTTCTACCTTATTTCATTTAGGTCAATAAAGTTATTCAAATTAAATAATGATTATATTATATTTAGGGAAGTGATCGCTTATTTAGTGGCCTCACATTATGCTGAAAAGTAATAATTGCGCGTGACGTTCCCTTGGCGTGTGCTTGGAGTTGAATATTGATGTCAGAAACCTTGTTAAGTCGGAACAACGTTATGTAAACTTCTCTTTGACTAGAAATTTGTTAAAGGTTGCCTGGTTGACAAAATAGATAGACATACTCTCTATTGTTTCCTCCAAAAGATTATAAAACTAAACTTATTTTAGATACAAACAATTGCAAGAAATGATGGAACATAGAAAACAATGGATACAGAATAAAAAAAAATAGACACACTACTATAACGATATCACTTGTAGAAAATTATATTTTTTTTATGCAACTTAGAATGGTAAATAAGCTGACGGCCCACCTGATGGAAAGTGGTAACCGTCGTCTACAGACATGAGCAGTACCATGGATATAACAGTGTATACTGTTTCACCCATGATACCCCCCATGCGTTGCCATTCCTGAGGACTCAGGTGTTATTCCTCTGCACCCTGTAAATTCACTGCCATATCCTAATCTTCAAACCGAAACACAGCCATGTAAACACAACTGCTTCATGGTAGAAACACGAATGGGACAGAGGTACCCAAGCAAACGACTTTTATACAAAGTCTCCCTCTGGTTATTGTATTATATTTTGTTAATGCTTAGGTAACTTAATAATTTGCTAATGAAATTAGTGTCTATAATAAATGTATGAATTAATGAATATACTTTATTTGCATTATACAATATAGGAAATAAGCAAGACAATTAATAAATGTAACGATACAGTTGTATAAGTACAGTAAAGCGATCTTATTTCTGAAAGCAATCTTTTCAAGACAACCCAACCAAATAAACAATACAATATAAACAACCCAAACAAAAACAAGAATAATTTGTAAGAATTTAGTGTAAAAAGATATAAATACTCATTAAGTGGCTGCGATATTTATTTATAAATCTCAATATTTATATTAAAAACATAATTCTCAATTAAATTTAAATAACTAATTCCATTTGGGAAATTTTTAAACGAATTACAAGCACTTGTAATCCTGAAATATGGCGCGTTTGTTTTATATAAAAAAATATAAATCAGTCAAAGTTATCTTTGTCTGACCACTTTGTGACCTATTTTTATATCCCACCTTGAAGTAGATATATGACCTAAGTCATGTATACACATATAAAAAATCATATAAAATTATGTTTACAATGACTCTATTGTAGATACATTTATTGTAAATATCATAAAATCATGATATCATAATGTTTGTGTCTTGACAGTGTTATAAATTACTACCGCATACTACATAACAGAGATATAAATTATAAATTTTATAATTAGCATTTTTTTTTTTACAACACAGGGGCAAACGAGCATACGGCTCACCTAATGGTAAGTGACTACCGGCGCTCATGATCACCCACAACACTAACACGTATCGGTTCGGAAATACTGCTGCTGGAAATTGATTCCAAAGAGTGGTTGTGCGTGGAAGAAAGTGCCTTGAAAAACGCACGGTGGAAGACCGCCACTCGTCCAAATGGTTGACATGTTTACGCTAAGCATCTACTTCGTAAACCAATAGTGATTTTTAAGAGGGTGAAAATGAATTAAGTGTCATCTCCGCTCGCGCTGTCGGTATACGCTGGCGGGGCACCAGTGAGTGTTAATAAGTGAAGAAAAAAGCAGGTAAATAGGTCATTCGTAACGAATTCAACAAGACTTGACTACGATGGTTTTTAGAGGTAACGCGTGGAGGTTAACCTGCTAGCTTATATTGCTAGCAATAGGATTTTTAGACCATACTCACAATCTCTTTTTCCCCGTGCAGGGGGTGTTGCCATTCTATTTATCATCACAGTTTTCAATTTTTTTTTAATGGATATTAATGGAATAGTTACCCCGTCTATGCTAACAGTATATATATATTGGCAGAGCACTAGTGAAGGATAATAGATGATGATGAAGCAGACTATTTGACCCATTGTGACGAATTCAACAATAAATAAATCACAATGGTTTCCAGGGGAAACCGCGCGAAGAAACTCGATCTGATAGAGCATATTGCTAGCAATGGAATTGCCAATCTACACCACTAACAGACCCTTTTCCCTCTAAGGTTGACTTGAAGAAATCCTTTTAATAAGTTCGCCTGTGTGCAATTTTTATAACCTATTATCTACATTATAAGTGAATGTATAATATATATATATATATATATATATATATATATATATATATATATATATATATATATATATATATATATATATATATATATATATAAACCATAATATCAATAAAATATCAGTTTCTGTAATGTTTCTTATTTATTTATTTAGCTAGTTAGTACTTAAGTAAACGTTGAAAGTCAGATAGTATCGCACTAAACAAAATGTTTATTTATTATAATCTCACGAACTTAGCACGACCGCTAGATCACGACTATTCGCGCCACACGCATGTCTAACGACAGTCATTTCTTCCATACTTTTACTCAATAACTAAAATGACACATACTCGTATTTCATTGTAAATGCTTAAGTACTTATCTTAAGGCTTGTTTTTTTTTACACAACTCCCCAAAAAAGGTGTGTAATGTATTCAGAATTCATGTACGTGTATTCGTATTTTTTTAAATCCACTGTAACTTTTAAATACCTAAAGAGATATGGATGTATGAGATATCGTTAGTTTTAAGAGTTTTTTTTTTATGAAATGATAATGGAATGGTAACTCCGTTTGCGCTACCGATTTACGCTGGCGGGGCACCAGTGAGGAATGATAGGTGAGGATAAAAGTAGGTTAGTTAGCCTATCGTGATACATTCCACAAAAATTTACCACAATGGTTTCAATGGAGAACCGCGTGGAGGTCGCCCTGATAAGGTATATTGCTAGTAATGGAGCTGGTAAGTCTCCATTACTAACAATCCCTTCCCCCTAGTTTTAAGGGTAATATATAGCAATATCTATACATTATAGTTACAGTATCTATACATATACCAGAAGGAGACTTTGTACAAAAGTCGATTGCTTGGGTATCTCTGTCTCATTCGTGTTTCTATGCAGTTGCATATGCAGAAGCAGTTGTGTTTGCATGGCTGTGTTTCAGTTTGAAGGGTGGGATATGGCGTGAATTTACAGGGTACAGAAGAATAACACCTAAGTCCTCAGGAATGTCAACGCATGGGGAGTATTATGGGCGAAACAGTATACTCTGTTATGTCCATGGTACTGCTCATGTCTATATTATCTATCTATATATTGACCCAACAACAGATAAATTACATATGGGTTATTCAATATATGATATCGACAAGAACAACCCGCCCGTAATGAATATAGATATCCGATTGATATGGACGATATCGCAATGGATTGTTATCAATGTCTAAAACAACTCAATAAATAGATATCGGATATTACCCATCCCTAGTTAGAATCCTTACATTGTACCAAATATGACTAACTG